TATACAAAAAATAACAAGAAGAAAAAATCTATGATCATATGAGTTTGCATGATAATATAAGATAAAATAATAAAAAAAAAAGAATATTAAAGTACCGGAAACCACTCACAATGTACATATGACTGTGAAAATAATAATCATGAGAAAAATTAAAATGTGTAACAATGATAAATCCAAAAATTTGGTTTGAATTGAGTTTACTAGTCAATTTTTTTGACTTTGTTGACCCAAACCTGTAGCAAAAGCAACAGGTCATATACTAGTAATAATTATAAAATTCATATGATCATCTGTATGTATGATTGTTAAATCTCTCAGAATTATTGACATTTTGATTGCTTATATTGTAATTTTATTATTGTATATTTTAGTTAATCTGTAAATTGATGCTATTATATATTTATTAATCAATTTATAAAATAATAATCAATATATAAAAATTAAAATAAAAATATAGGAAGCTACTGGAATTACATCTTAACTACCGTAATTCAGTTGTTATTTGTTTATTATCTAAATATTGTAAGAGAAAATCCAAAATTTCACTTTTTTGAAAATAATTCCAGGCTTTTACTTTGTAATATTTATTTTAAAAATTGACATTCACCAAATAAAACTAACACAATCTTAACTACATACTATGTATTATTGGAATAGCAAGTAAGTTTAACAGAGTTTTTATAGTAATTCATATTAATTTAAATGCAAACTAATTCAACTGTATACTAAAATTACCAAATAGTGAGTAAGCTTTGTAAAGTTTTTATAGTAACTAAATTAGTGTTTAAGAAAATGTGGCATATGTTAGTATACTAGCCATGGCAAAAAAGTATGATAATTGAAATTTTACTCAAGCTAATCAATATCAACATAAATATTTTTTTATATGAATTCTATCAATCTATAGAATAAAATAAAACTAATAAATATGCAGTATGCTATCCTTATTATAGTAACTAGCTGAGCTTATACTGTATATCATACTGGGGTGTTTTATATTAAATAATTTACTATTTTAGACAGCATTATATGATTAGCCTACTAAGTAAAATTTTTAAAATTTTGTTGATCAATTTATTAAAAATTTATTATAATAAAAAACTATATATTTTTATAAAGGTATAATTCTCTTTTTAGTAAAAAAGCTCTTTTCTATAACTTGCAAATAATATAAAATAATGTGGTTTTAAAACTATGTTGCCATATTTAATATAAAATAGCTGCATAATGTGCAATGCTACACAAAACCAGTATAATTAGACATAAACTTCAAAATATATTAGATAATTATACAACATTATTTATTAAAACCAGAATAAAAATACCAATAAAATATGTTTGGTCTATATAATTTAGTTACCATCTGGTAATATATATATGATTGAATTAGTTGTACTCAATTTATTATGATTTCTATTATGAGTTTCAGCAAAAATCTTTTTTCAATCTTATTCAACATCTCATTTGTACATGGAATATGTCAATATTTAGTTAGTATGTCAAAATTATCAAATTCTTTTATGAGTTACTGTAAATATTATTGTAAAACCTACTTGCTATTCTAGTAGTATATAGGTATAGAATAATTGGAATTATCGTAATTTTTACCATGAGTTACTGTTAAATTTTTAGTTATAGAATTTACTAATTTAGTATGCAGTTATTTATATCAAGATTGAATTAGTTTGTATTAAAATTACATATTTTCATCATTAATTGTGGTAAATATCTTGTTATAAACTTGTATTCTAATGATCACATCAAGTAGTCAAAGTCAAGTGATTTCTACTATAAGTTTAGTAAAAAATTATACCACAAAATTTACTTGCTAATATGGTATATATATAGTATTTAACATTGTATTAGCTTGTAATGAAAATATTATGATTTATATTATTGAAAAATTTATATAGAACTTGCTTAATATTCTGATAATTATAATATCTAGTTAAAATTAATTAGTTTGTATTAGAATCATTATGAATTTTATGTGGTTTAGATTATTTTAGTTTTTATTAAAATTATTATAGTCTGACTATAAAAAAATTCAACTACAAAACTTATTTCTATTTTGGCAACCATAATACATGATTAAAGTTAAGTAATATTGTATAGTTATCCTTCTCTACAATCACCTCCTATATAGTTACACCCTCTTTATAAGCACTATTTTTGAAAATTTATTTATTTAAAAAAAACTTTATATAATTACATTACTATTAAAATTTTATAATCACAACTTTTTTATGTAAAACAAACTGCATAATTATAGAGGAGGAGGACTGTATTTAAAATAAAGTTTGTTTGTATTGGAACTATCATGATTTATCTATAATTGAAATAGTTTGTATCTGAATATATTAGAATTATTATGGTATAAATTTTTACTTAAAAAATTCTGTTACAGAGCCTACTCACTCACTATTTCAACAACTACAATATATATGGTCAAAATTTAGTTTGTTCTAAAATTATAACTTTGGTTATTTAGATCAAGCTAGTTTTGTTGAAATTATCACAAATTCTATGTAGATAATTCTTTAGTTTGTATTGAAATTATTGATTTCTATCATATGTTTCTAAAAAAAATCCTGTTATAGAGCTTACTCACTATTTTGATAACCATAATATATGTGGTTAAGTTAGTTTGCACTATAATCATTTTGATTTCTGTATAATTATCACTCTTTTTAATTAGTTGAGTTAATATTTTGCAGTTTTTTTTGTTTATGAGTTCCATAAATCTGTGAATTTATAAGTTTTATATATACATATATCCTGAATATAATTAATTGTTAGCTGCCTAATATGTTATAATAATAAACAACTAACAATTACAAATAATTATTATTATATTATTATATATAGGAATATGCATATGTAAGAATATGAATTTATAGGATTCATAGAATTCACAAACAAAGAAAATCTGCAAAATTTATCAACTCAACTAAATTTAAAAGAGCAATAAGGTTTAGTAGTTGTGCTTGATTTCTATTATAATAATTATTCATACAACTTACTTAACTTACTTGATATTCTAATTACCAAATACGTGGTTATAGTTGAGTTAGCTTGCATCAAAATTATTATCATAAAGTCAATATACCATTCTAGTAAATACAGTATGTGACTGAGTTAGTTTGCATTGTATTGTAAGTTGCTAAATTAAATTCTGTTACAAAACCTACCCTCTAATGCATATTTATAGTAATTATCATTGTTTTAAATTTCTATTTTGTATTAGAATTAATATAAGCTACTTTAGAAAAAGTCTGTTACAAACTTACTTGCTATTTCAATAATCCATAGTTAAGATGAATGTTGATTTTTAAAATACCATAAAGTATGGAAAATAAGCACAGCACCCTCTACTCTGCTTTTTTAATTTCAGATTAACGGGAATAAAACTTATTGCTATTTCTGCTAATCTGAAATTGAAAAAAATAGGGTAGAGGGTGCTGTGCTTCACTAGTCGGAATATGGCAAATCGTGTACAAATCGGGCATACCTATTTAAAACTGATAGTTACCTGATTGATACCCGATTTTTAAATTCGACACCCCGATTTATGCCAATTTATGGCGCAAATCAGCACAATATCAGGATAAAATCGGATATTAATCGGGAGTGAAATATATAAGTAGAAGTGCCGCATGCCATATAAATGCCATATGCTGTATAAGTGTTAATCGTGGTTTCCAAACACTTATCTAACTACCGTAATTTGCTGTATACAAGATCCCCTCAAATAGTAAATCCACCATGAATTAGACCCTGGCGCGAACCACAAAATCTACATTAATCAGATTTTTTCACGTAGTTAGACTGCCTATTGTAAATACAAAGTGTGAATGCACTTTAAATTTTTTTTTTTTCACGATATAGCTCTCAGCGAGTACTAGACCCGGGGTCTACTATATGGTGGAATGTAACAGACCCGGATCTTGTATATGGCAAATTATGGTAATACCCTTCAGATTACTATTCTATTCAGTGTCTATTTCAAAGTGTCGGCCTTTGGCTAATTTATTTTATTTGGTGTTATACGTCAACTAGGTCAATTTTATCTAAGCAAAATTCTTGTTTTTCTTTTCAGTATATTCAATCTCTACTTCTTAGTCATTGAAGTTGAAGGTTATGATTTTCGAAGCAGTTACCACTTTTAGAAAACATTGAAAAAAAAATAGGTCAAGGAAGAATAGAATGATAATAAAGTTGACTTCGTATTCATTTGAAGAGATTCAGTCGTCTTGGATGATTTGTTTGAGAAAGTTAAGTTTCAGATTTTTTTTTGATTAATTTGTTAACATAATCATTACACTCATATCACTTTCTTCGGTATTACCTGCTTCTCTTTCTTTTTGCAAATTGCCTCGGTTTTCTAGGTGCCATGTTTCATAAAATTTTCTTTTGCCTTTCACAACCCAAAGAAAGAGAAAAAAATGACCTTGCTCCTTGTATCAGAGAATTTTATCTTAGAACCTTGGAATGCAATTGAATGGATTTCATTCAATAAATTACATAATGCTTGTGGGCGTTATTTTGAAATCCTCCAAAAACAACTTGTATGTTCTCGACATTAATGCTCATAGGCATCGCAATAAATGATACTTCATATGTGCACTCTCTATAGGTGCATTTTAAATAACGCACATGGGTGTATTCTAAATAACGCGCAGGTGAGCGTTATTTCGTGCTTATACTATATATAATGTTAAAGAAATTGGCAAAAGAGGATTTAGTTATGTATATTCAACAACTTAGATTGGATGGCATACGAAAATTGATTATAATTGTGTAAAACACGTGAGCCATCTATTGATTTTTTAGTGTTTACTTTAAATTTAATTGGATAACGAAAATTTTCAGGGTAGTAATGCTATACGGCACTGTCAGGAATGAGTGAACAAAGCTTTGCAAGGCTATTAACATTTGGGAAGGGTTGTCAATTTTGTAAAACTATAGAGAAAACGTTGACAATCTACTAGATTCCCTGTATGTCCCATGAGTTTTTAGGTAAATTAATTTTATATTTTTATAATAATTTGAATCTAAATAAAATTATATTAATAATTATTAGATCTAGTGAAGTTCTTACCAGTAATACCAAGCATAGATTTACAAGGATCTCGGAATAAACATACACATTATTGGATCGGTCATGTTAAGAGTGTTATAGCGTTTTTTATGAATGCTGATGATAATATGCGACACACATTAAATAGCTTAAGAAAAGATGTTGGAAAGAAATATAAAGAAGCTCAAGATTATGAAGAATGGGTGTCTAATTTACGTCAAACCTACCTTAGTGAACTTTTTTCAAGATTCCAGCTAAAATTAATGAAGGAACTTTATTCAAAGTACAAGAAGATTATGAATATCGAAATTCTTAATACCAAAGTCCAAAATTTTTTAATACAGAGTTGGGAGCAATATAAGACAGAAATTTCACAAATCGTCCAAAGAATGGATGAAGAATCTACAATTAAGGAACGTCAGATCAAAATTATTAAACGAACGCATGGCTCAGTGAAAACATTTAATTATGTGTCCAAGCTTCGAAAATCCAACAGACATCACTCATCAACTATTATATCTTTTGGAATCAGCAAACCTTCCTTGCATCACAAACGAACAAATCTTGCTTATGCTTGTTTACTTTGCACGTCATTCATGAAAAACTGCAAAAGTTATATTTGAATGTTATCAATTATTAGATTTTGTTCATAAAAATATTTATGCATAGCTTGGCCAACTATTAATGACTCATCTAATGGGACCTTAAAGAACAACCTAAAAGTTACTTAAAGAAAACATTGTATGTATATGTATTTATTTTATATTACCTTGATAGGCTATCGTGATGAATTATGAATAGAATAATCCCAAATTTGGTTCTTCAACAACGACGTAATGTTAGTATTAGAACCATTTGATTTTAAAGGATAAGTTATTAAGAAAAATAAGCAAAAAAGATTTAGCATTAATAAAGAATAATAATCGCATCACTCTCCGGAGGTTTCAGAAACAGATGGTGACGATGAATCAACAGAAAGAAAAGTTGTGGTTAAAGACTTGAAGTGGAGATCAAAAACCGTAAGTTTTTAATATGCATTTAAAGTTAAACAAAATATTATTTTTAAAAAGAAAAATCTATTTATATATCTGTATCGTCTTGTACTATTTTTAAGCTGAAAGAGATGTTAAGAATTACGTTGACAAGATCCATGACAAAATGGTTAAGGTCAAACTATCTCGGAATAGGGTGTATGTAGAAGAGTTTGCAGAGGATAAACCAACGAAGAGTAAGAATGAAATATGGAGAGAAATCATAATAACAATACGCAGCATACAATTATATTACTTATTTTAAAGGGGGGTGATATTAATAAATATAGATTAGCAAAACCTCCCTATATATATATATATATATATATATATATGAGGTGTGGCAACTTAGTGAAGTGGTCTAGTTGTCACCCTCACCAAACGTTATAGGAAGATCCCATGTTCAAATCCCA